GGGGGTATGATATCTGGAAACCCACCGCTACGCACAACTACGCCATGATGATGTCCCCTCGATTGGTGATGAAAAGTTTGCAATCGAATTGCCCAGCTCAGCGAAAAAGCCAACGACCACCGTCTACGCTACCTGAGCTACCGACATTTTCCTCTATAGAAACGTCATTATTCTTCTGACAAACCTGAGGAGAAATTCTTTATTTGTCACCAATTAGCAATCATTTAGGCAATATTTTTTTCTTACAAACAACTAGCCATTCCATCGTCACTTATTTGTCACCAATTAGCAGTCATTTAGGCAATATTTCTTTTCTTACAAACAACTAGCCATCTCATCGTCATTTAAGCAGAGTCAAGTAGAGTTAGTTGTCGGATGCAACCCTCAAATGCTGCTCGTATCAAAGGTGTTGGTTGGTATATGCCCGTTAACGTCTTTCAGTTAGGAGATATTTGATTGTCACTTAGATTTCAGCTTTAGTTGAACCTTCTTCTTTTACTCTCTGTTCTATATTGTTTGNTTGAACCTTCTTCTTTTACTCTTTGTTCTATATTGTTTGACGTTACTACTTCAAATTTTCACTTTGATATAGAAGCATTTATTTGAATACATCAAATAAAGCGATGCGTGACAGAAACACCTAAGGCGCGTTGAAAAAACAGGCTAGATATTCATTTTTGCTTGCATTTCTTGATCTAGCTTCATTATCAAAGCATAAAGTGTACGGACATCAGGGAAGCCAAACATTTTTCGTGATTTTTGATTGTTTACTTTTCTCCTTTTGAAGACTTCTGCTTGGATGAACCAAGTCCCGGTATGTGCAGCGCATACATTGAAAGCTATTTCTACAACGCAAGTGCAAAGGAATGTCAGACCTTTATTTACGGAGGCTGTCATGGAAATCGGAACAGCTTTGAAACCGTGGATGAGTGTCTCCGAGTTTGCTCTCCCACCACGCTGTCCAATGTTGAATAATTGGTCCGCCAACGAGACGCACCCGTCAGATTATGCTTTTCTTTTTTACTTTTGACCTTGGGAAGTGGATGAGTTAAGATAAACCACGTAGGAATCACGTTGGCCAAATTAGCCGGCAATTTAACCAGGGGCTTAATAAATGAAATTCAGTAAAGTAGGAGATGTGTCCACCAGGTGTCAGTTTTTTGGAAGAGTATTCTAACGGGCAGATAAAACACGTTGAACACTTGTGGTCGTTTTGCAAATGTAGGTTCATTTGATGATTTGAAGCTATTCTTGTCAGTACTTTATTTGATCTGGAAGCTGAAGGGCTGCTGCAAACTAATCTTACCAAAAAACGGGAGCTCTTTAGCCAGCCCCTTTCCGTCATTCGCAAATCTGTCCCCCTGTATTCCCTTATTGAAATTTCCGAGGCAGATTACTGTCCCTCTTCTTGTTAGGGTATCTAACAACATTTTAATCAATTTGTAAAATTAGTGGATACTCAGTGCAACGAGTTGAACATTTTAGAGCCCGTGGAACGCCTGAAAGTTGGTGTGCTATGTGTTCTTTGTATAAAAAAAATGTGGTGCTCGGTTATGCCAGAATGTTTGAGGCTGTGAATGGCTGGAAATTCCTATCGTACGACTAGTCAGTCCGTGCACCACCGAAAGTTGGTGTGCTATGTTTTCTTTGCATAAAAAAATGAGGTGCTCGGTTTGAGGCTGTGAATGGCCGGAAATTCCTATCGTACGACTAATCAGTCCGTGCACCACTCCTAAATTAATGGTCAGCTCGCATTTCTTGGGACGACAGCGACAGATTTTACGTGCACCTCCCAACAAAGGGTAGGAGCTAGATTTAGGAAATTGAGGTAGGTACCTTTGAAACTGTCTTTTACAGCAAGTATTGTTTGTCTTTACAACGTTAAAGTGGATCTTCAGTTTGTTTGATTAACTTTGTGTGTGTATCAATGTCCGACGTGGTTCAAGCTAGAAGCGCTTCTCAAAGATGCAACATACCACGGTATTTTGTTATGAATAAAGAAATAACTCTGTTATTATTAAGCAGTGAATCACGCATTTGTCGCATGTTTGATTTTAAATCAGCTGTTGACAATTTCTATAACCTGATCTCACATATGTACAGAACTATCACTGAATAGACACCGGAAATTGCAGAGGACTTTGCGAGATCTAGCCCATCGGGGAGGGTGCACATTTTCCTAACCAAACAGCAGCATTTCGCCAACTCGCCGCCCAAATCATTGACGAAACAAGCGATCTTCCTTGGAAGTTATCTGAGGATCGCGAAAATATCCTAATCTGAAAACAAATCCTGTCCCCCTGTAGCAATTTAATGAAGTAAAACTTTAAGTTACGCATATAAAGTCTGAAATTCTTGATGTACTTTTGAAGTTATTGGTGTCAGCTAATTGTTTAGGAACGCAGTTTTGAGTCAGTCCAACATATAAAAGTTAGGATCGGTCAGAAGTTTTCTTTCTCACGACTAGTCTGGTCCGTAAAAATGTTATACATGCGGACTGTTGCTTTGATTTCCATCCTGAAATTTCAATGTTGATCGGGACCTTGATATCGGAGACAGTTTTGAATGTAGTTCTCCTTAAGGATTCATGTGAACTTGGCATTAATAAGTTCCAACAAATGGTGAATATTCAAAAATAGTATCGCTTTTTCTGGTATAAAAGGACTGTTGCGTTCTATCCTGAAATTTCAATGTTGATCGGAACCTTGATATCGGAGACAGTTTTGAATGCAGTTCTCCTTAAGGATTCATGTGAACCTGTCATCAATAAGTTTCAACAAATAATGAATATTCAAAAATAGTATCGCTTTTTTGGTATACAATCTGACGATCGTCTTTCGACAAGATTAAAGAACATATAACATGCCCATATTCAAAATATTGTTCGCTTTTTCATTGCTTTTATTTAAAAATTTTAGTTGTAACAATTATTCTCCACGAAAGAAGCGTGCGTGACTGTCCCTGAGTCTGATGCGACCATACACATAGCAATCCATTTAACTTAGTGCTTTGTTAATGTTCACGATCCTTGCTACTTAGTGAACATGGTTCGGAAGAATGTCACACGGAAGCCTTGTGTGCTTCAAAGTATAGCGGGTGTTTCTCCAGTTTTATATTTTGACCTCATCCATAAACTTATTGTGGAGTAGTGTACAGAAGCTGATGTGGAAAACCGGCTTTTTGGAGAAAGGCTTCAAATGATATAGCACATTTAATGTGATATCAGGCATCTAGGGGTGAGGTGCGCTATGGAAGAGAGAACGAACTGCGTTTGCTTAGATATGTCCTAGGTGGCGGGGATTAGTTCCGTGGAAGCTTGTTTTATTAAGACATAGAAAGTTCCTCCAGATAACTTATTTCATTGCCCGAAATGCTTCCAAATACTTTGCTCCGTGTAACTGACAGCCGGAAAGTACCACGTTCGTGAAAACTGCTTTGGTAAAGCAAGTCTGTTTGCATAACTCTGCAACCTACCGGCCACAACGCCTGGATTTGTATATTCTCTAAAGAGCAAAGCTTTTCTCTTCCCATAGGATGCTTCCGTCTTGAACTCGGGTGGACGTAAAAATCATTGCAGTAGGCGCGAACACCCTGTTTTGGTGGGATTCTTTAGGCTGTTCCCAGAAAAGCTAACTTAATAGATATTTCTTATCTGCATGATATTGTTTAAAGCCTTCATTCTGCATCTCCTTACTTAAGATGCTGAGCAACGTTTACGGGTAGCATTGTTTGAATTCGGTCTCAAAATGGATACATTTAGAACTTGAGCATCATGTGTATCAATGCTAAGTGTGCGCCTAAAACAAGCACACTGGGATAGACCATCAAAATGAGAATTTCATTAACGTTAATAACTTTGTAACAGAATCTAGATGAGCATTCGGTGTAAATTATGTGGTACAACTCAACTGACAGAGTGCAACCTCCCCAGCAAACGGCTGGTGTTGATTCTTCATCCGGGTTCTTCATTGCATTTTAATGTCGGATATTGGTAGATCTTAAAAGGATCACTTTCGACTTATCAGCGAAATTACGTGAAGTCATATATTTTGAGTACCCCCCTTCAGCACAACTCCATTTATTCCTAAAGAATCAGGTGATTTTAGACCCGACAGACCAAATGAGGAATACATGGCTCCTTGAAGTATCAGGTTTTGGTCAGAAAGCACCACTGGAAAGCCAAGCCTACCAAAAATGTATGCGCTAAGAACACCCATATAGTACATCAATCTGGCTAGTTTTTCGGACTGCTGGCGTTGCTCATTGATACTGACGTATTTTTTGGGTTTTAAGCACAGATTGTAATAACAATAATGCACAGTGGAGTTGGCTACTTAGTTCAGAGTTCTTGGAAATGTTCAGATAATCTTAAAACCATCATTGAATTTGTTGGTCCAAACGTCTCCCGTGCGGTCCAGTCTTTTTGCCTTATTTTTTAGGATTATTGTGTTATACGAAGGTAAACTTGGTGTGAGTATTCTCGAAGAAATGACAAACTCGGGGTGAAATAAACTCGCATTATTCCAGAGAACAGCTTACAGACTAGCTGCATGGGGACTGCAGGCAGAGCCGGTGGGATGGGACACAGATAGCTGAAATAGTACTGTAAGATCTCATTCACGCGGACCATGTTGACCTAATGAGATTTCGCATTATCTTCCCGCTAATTTTTTGGTGGATGAAGGGCCTTTTGAAACAAGAGAATTAATCTTGGAGCTGCACCAAAGTAACCAGGTCTGTCGGCGAGATACTGGCGGGTATTCTTAGAGTCATCATTTTTAGGAGTCATGTGTAGACACTATGAGGACTGCTGTTGAATTTTGAAGTTATAATGGTTCTACAGTTATATATCCGAGTGGAGTTCAATATATCTATTATCACAGAATGTGATGTGCGTACACATATCGAGTTCAACTATGGCTCACACATCAGCTCATAAGTTAATTTACTTTGGCTTCTCTCAATAGAAACCGGAGCTAAAACTAAGAGCACTGATGATCCTTATACATAACTGGTAAGATATATCGGAGAGAAAATCACATACCGTCGTGTGAATCAGCGAAGACCAATGTGGTTGTCTTAGAGACAAACATATATTGATATGGATTCCTGGTTTCAGTGATTTTTATTGACTATGCATTCAACATTTCATGGGATTTTAGTACTGACCAATATTGTGGGCACAGATAGCTCTTATACCTTCCCACGTTCGAACCTCGAAGCCAGAACTTCTTATAAAGAAGAGCGAGGTGAAGCGAGCTTTAGAGTGCCTCGAAAGCGTTCTTATCATCTATGTTAGTAGAAAGGGGGATAAAGGATAAAAACTTCATGCAATACTCTTCTGGGGAAATTTTTGGCTCTGGACCGCTCGCCCAGTTATCAGAATGCATAGAATGCAAGGATCTTCCAGTTACACTTCAGTGAAAGAGTGCATCTCTCGACGCTGTTATCCCGCTTGGTCATCAAACTGTTTCTCAGTCAGCTGGAAATAGCAAACTTAGCACTATTCTCCCATAAGTAAAACAGCGAATGTCTGCATATCTGGGCAAATGTTTTAGGGATATTTAAAGACCCATTATAAGTTCTTTCGTTTGATACCATAACACAATCGATTTAGACTATTTTCAAACAAAATGAAAGAACTTGCTTTCCACTAAAACAGACGTTGAGCACACCTCATGACCACAAAACGTAGACAGGATAGTAGGACGACACAAGAAATATAATTTTTCAGAAGTGCAAAGACCAGACATACGAGAAACCGTATAGACTATACATATGATATATATGTATATATACATAAATATGATAGGATATATGAAACTCTGGAAGTACACAAAGTACCAAGATGTGTCCGGAGCGCCCCCCGTCAAAATAACTGAAGCCCTCCGTTCACGATAAGCTATCTTAAATCATGAGTTTCAGGAATTATGCAATGACTGTGAAATTAATTTTGACTTTTAACAGTACGCTTACATTCTGATGTTATCTTAGGTCACATT